AAGGGAGGGAAGCAGGGAGGGGGAGGAAGGAAGGAAGGAAAAGGAAGGAAGGAAAAAAGGGAATGAAGAAGAGAGAGAGGGAGGAAATGAAGAAAAGAAGGGAGGGAGGAAAGAAGGGAGGAATAAGGGAGGAAGGAAACCTGCCCGTTCACTAAACCCACTCCTGCCCTTCAAACGACCCATTCTCTACCGGTTCCATACGCCGAGATCCCACCACCCTTTCTCTCTCTCTCTCTCTCTCTCCCTTCCGCGCGAAGCGAAGGATTGTTAAGCGCGCCTTGATCGAGTGGCATAATGATGATGATGATGATGATGATGATGATGATGATGATGATGATGATGATGATGATGATGATGGGGTGGGGATCTTTAAGGAAGACTCCTCTTTCCCCCCCGCCACGAACGACCCACCCCAACCCAGATCCAAAGAGGCCGAGGAGGACGAAGAGGAGGTGGGGGAAAAAGAGAGACCTTTAGCCTTTACAATAGTGTTTTAACCATCTCATCCCTGCAAATAATTTCTCTCTTTCTGCTGCCGGCTTCGAGGCAGAATTTTTTGTGTCCTGAATCCCACCTTTCCCCCAAAATGTGACTTTTAATTTGGGGGGGCGGGGATGGGAACAGCGTGGGTGCGCCTGTAAAATAGGGACAGAGACCCTCCCAAGCGTCCAAATATTGACTTCCTTCTTTTTCAGCCATTTCTCAAAAATGCGTTTTTTCGAAAAGCACCTGGACTTTGTTTTTCCTTGAAGGCGTTTCGCTTCTCATCCAAGAGGAGCTTCTTCCGTTCCGAAGCTTCTTGGGATGAGAAGCGAAAGGCCTTCAAGGAAAAAAAAAACAAAGAAAGAAAGAAAGTCCACCTGTCTTTTTTCCAAAAAAGCATCTTGGATAACCTGAATGACGGGGGAAATCTCCCCCAGACCCTCTCTCCAGCCACCTAACAGCCGTGTGGTCCTCCCTGCAAGATTTCCCGGCGGGTTGCACATCAAGAAGGCCTGAGTTGAATTTCCACCTGGCCGGAAAAATTAGGAAAGGAGGTTCCACTTAAACGTTGAAGGCGCTCCATTCTCACAAACCCACGGAAAAAGCTACCTATGCGCATTCCACGGGGGGGGAAATTAAATATATAGCAAACTGGGGCGGGCTGGGCTCTCCCCCCCCCCCCAATTCTTGCTTGCAAGCTGTAATTTAAAAAAAAAACGGATTCTGTTAGAAGTAGAGACTGACTTGTGGTGCCGAGGATCAGAATCTTAGGGGGGGATTTTTTGCTCCCCCACCGGCTTTTGTAAGATACACCTGTAATTCAACTTGTTTTTTTTATTCCCTTTCCCGGAGGGGGAGAGAGAGAGAGAGAGAAAGACCTTTTCATAACCTCTGAAAGTGAGTTTAAAAGGAGGTCAAGTTATAACACAACAAAAACGAAGTCAAGATTTATGGAAATAATTCCTCCTTGCTTGAAACGTCTAAAGTGATTTTAATGAATAAGGTCTTTTTTGTTGTTGTTGTTGTTTAACCGATTTCTCCTGCCCTGTCTAGATTCAGATGCTCCCATTAATGTTCTTTTGCAGCAATGTAAAACATAAAAATCAAAAGTATTCCTCTCCCTCTCTCTCTCCCTTTCCCCCTTTCTCCCTCCCTTCCTTTTTTTCTCCTTCTCTCTCTTTCGCTCCCTCTTTTTCTCTCTCTTTCTCCCTCTCTCTTTCTCCCTCTCTCTTTCTCCCTCTCTCTCTCATTTGCTACCCCGAGGTCAAACAAGTCTAGGGCACCCTTTTGTATTTCATTTGATTTTCAAACAGGGCTTCCTTGATGTAGAAATGCATTTTTAAATATATATTTAAATTGATTGTAAATGTGGCATAATTCTGTTTAAAGGGTTTTATTCCCAGATTGGAGAATCGCTGTCTAACGTTTGAGAAAGGCGAGCACAAAAACAGCTAGATGATAATCTAAAGTCAGAATGTAGGTATGTATGTACATTATATATATATATATATTTATACATTGTGCCTTTTCAATGTATGTGTGTGTGTGTGTGTGTGTGTGTGTAAGTTCCGGAGTTCGCAGTATGTCTGCCTCTTTTTTTACTAATATACCTGGAACTCGTATTTTTAGAATAATTTGTACACACACACACACACACACACATATACATTGTACCTTCTCTATGTATGTATGTACATTATATATATTTATACATTGTGCCTTTTCAATGTATGTATGTACAATATATATGTTTGTATGTGTGTGGGTCTTAAATTTATATTTCCTGACTACACACATACATTGTGCCTTTTCTATGTATGTATGCATAGAATGTATGTATGTAAATACACACACACACACATACACACACACACACACACACACACACACAATGTGCCTTTTCATGTATGTATGTAGGGGGTAGTAGGTATGTACATTATATATATACATTGTGCCTTTTCAATGTATGTATGTACATTATATATATTTATACATTGTGCCTTTTCAATGTAAGTATGTAGGTAGATATGTTATGTACATTATATATATACATTGGCCTTTTCAATGTATGTACATTATATAATATTTATACATTGTATCTTTTCAATGTAGGTATGTAAGTATGTATGTATGTACATTATATATATATACATTGTGCCTTTTCAATGTATGTTTGTAGGTATGTATGTATGTACATTATATATATTTATACATTGCCTTTTCAGTGTATGTAGGTATGTAGGTAGGTAGGTAGATATTTAGACATACATACATTGAAAAGGCACAATGGAAAGATATTGTGCCTTTTTTAACCTGATTCCTGGGGGCAGAATCCAGTTTTCAAATGCCTTCAGTCGCTGGGCTCAAATGCCAAATTGTCCCAAATCCAGTTTGGCAACTTCCGGGACCCATTTTCCCCACCGCAGAATATTTGTAAGGGGGTAGGATGGGTGTATCCAGCCCCCTTCTGCCATTTGGAAGCAATTGGGGAGGGGGGAAGTGAAAGGAAGAGCTTAAACACCTTAACAACGAAAAGTGATCGGTTTTTTGTTAAGTTTGTCTCTTTCCCGACCCCGCTTTAACGACTTTCCTTCGGCTGATTGCAAAAAAAAGAATTTTGCGCCTTTCCGAAAATGAATTCGCTTCTCCCCGAGAGCCGGGAAAAAAGAAATACAAATAAACATCCGAAAATCCCCCGGGTGTCAACTCTATGGGAAGAGCTAATATGCCGGAGCCACCACATTCACGGATCCTCGGGGAAAATTCGCTTCCCAACTCAAATTAAAAACCCCGAGGAAATTTGCGGGCGATTTTCTTTCTCTTCCCCCCCCCCCGCGCTCCTCCGCCAATCTTTCCGCAGAGAGATTCTTTTATTTACAAAAAAATATATATATTAAATCTGTTGATCCGAATGGGGCTTCTTCGCTTACTTAAACTACCGTCCCCTGTGAATCTAAATTACCGGAGAAAAGCCGGTAATTTAATATTTCTCTCGCTGCTTCTTCCAAGGAAGCGAAGGTGCAAGAGAGAATATCGGGGGAGGGGGTGGGTTTGCATCGGAATTGGGGTGCTGGAGTGGGAAGCCAGGCGGGGTACGCGAAGGAGAATCGGAGGGGGTCTTCTTTGTGTGTGGTGTTTGTTTCTTTACTGCTTCCCTCGGCCTCCCCCCCCCACTTTAAGCTTAGAAACCCGGCTTGCTCTGAACGTTAAGCTCCTGATAAGAGAGAGAGGAGGCCGCGTGGATTTATTGCCTACTGATAAGGGTCTTCTCTCCCCCTCCCCCCCACTTCGGAATCAGGCGACTGGGTTGGAATAACAAGCCCCCCCCCCCAGGTAGAAGCCATTTGAAAATTGCTCCCTTCCCCAGACAGAAAGAGGAGACGCGCAAACTTTATCCTGCGCAAATATTTGCGCAAAGAAGATCCTATCAAGATCATTGTAAAGGGTATTGTTATTTTATACACCTAGGCTGGAAAAGGCTAAAGGAGAAAAAAACCGGGTCCCCACCGCTGGGGTCTCGGGGCCCGAACTGGGAACAAGGACCTCGAGCTGCTAGTGGCCGGACACACACACACACCCAACAACAACAACAACAACGCCGGGGTTGGGTCGAGATCCTGCACCCCGGGGCTCCGTTTAAGAAAGGGCCTTTCAGAGTGGACGAAAAGGCGGCGCCCGCCTGCCCGCGCTCCAGTTCCCAATGGAGTGATTATCTGAAGATAGAGACGCGTGTCAATGGCGTAGGATTCCCCCCCCCCCAGAAGGCCAGAAGGAAAGAACTAAAGTAGAGACGCGGGAGGGAGGGAGGGAGGGAGAGAGGGGAGAAGGAAGGAAGGAAGGAAGGAAAAGGGCAAGGAGGAAGGAAGAAAAAGAGAAACGAAAAGAGAAAGGGAAGGGAGGGAAAGAGGAAAGGGAAGGGGACAGAAAGAGAAAAAGAAAGAGAAAAAAAAAGAAAGAAGGCAGGAAGAAAGGAAGAAAGGACGGCAGGAAGAAAGAAAGAAAGAAAGAAAGAAAGAAAGAAAGAAAGAAAGAAAGGGGAGGACAGGCAGGCAGGACGGACGAAGGGAGAAAAGGAAGGAGAGAAAAAGAGGGAGGGGAAGAAAAGAATGGGAGAAAGTAAAAAAGGGAAGGAAAAGAAGAGAAAAGGAAGGATGGAGGGAGGGAAGGAAGGAAAAGAGGAAGGGAAGGAAGGAAGGAAGAAAGGATGGCAGGAAGAAAGAAAGAAAGAAAGAAAGAAAGAAAGAAAGAAAGAAAGAAAGAAAGAAAGAAAGAAAGAAAACGAAAATGGGGAGAGAAGGCAGGCAGTTCGGACGAAGGGAGAAAAGGAAGGAGAGAAAAAAGTGGAAGAGAAAGAAAAGAATGGAAGACAGTAAAAAAGGGAAGGAAAAGAAGAGAAAAGGATGGATGGATGGATGGAAGGAAAAGAGGAAGGGAAGGGAAGGGAAGGGAAGGGAAGGGAAAGAAGGAAGGAAGGAAGGAAGGAAGGAAGGAAGGAAGGAAGAAAGATGCCCACTTACAAATCCATGCTTGTCCGATATGTTATTGGTGAGCTTCAGTTTATGGAAGGCCACCGGCTTGGCCATCCACTGCTCGCCCGTGGCCGGACTGTCCGGATGGATGTACATCCTCTTCGGCATCTCCGGGTCCGCTTTGCCGGCCACCATCCAACGCGAGTTGTGGAACTTGTAGCGACAATCGTCGGCGGCCACAATATCCATCAGCAAAATGTACTTGGCTTTCTTATCCAGGCCGCTGACCCGCACTTTGAAAGGGGGGAACATCCGTCTGGAGGCGACAGAGGGAGAGAGGGAGAGAGGGAGAGGGAGAGAGAGGTGGGGGAGAGAAAAATTACTCTCGGGGCAAGTCAAAGGCGGCGGTTCTTATTCAGACCTTTATTTGGAATAATCCTGCCATACTTTTGCAACCCAGTTATGCACCTGCTGCCCACCCGCGTCCCTTCAAATCAGGGCCAAGGTGAGCGAACCTGGTTATTATTAAATTATTAAATAATAAAATTATTAAAATATTAAATTTATTATTATTATTAGTAGTAGTAGTAGTAGTATTAGTATTAGTATTAGTATTAGTATTAGTTAATCTTTAGTGAGATTCACAGCCTTTGAGGCTGGTTAATAGCTCAGCAGCTCGAATCCTAACCAAGGACCTAGGAACTTATTATTATTATTATTATTATTATTATTATTATTATTATTATTATTATTATTATTATTTAAATGCCACCATTCTCTATAACTTTCCTGCTCATTCCGGGGCTGCCTTAACGCGTGGGCCCGATGGGCACTTGCCCGTGGGCCCCACGAGTTTAGGGGCCCCATACTCATCTGCCTAGGTTAACCCTTCAATGCACCTTGTATCATATAAATACAGCAACTGTATTACTTACTATTATTGTGTTATTGTTATATTATTCAAATGTCTCTCGTGTTGATGAGCTGTTGTTGCACAGCCTGTGTTTTAATGTTTCAACGCCGATTTATTGGAAGTGCCAATCAAATAAATATACGTTTAATTTTTATCGACTATTTACATTTTTATTCCTGGGAGTAATTGTCCTAGGGCCCCCAGTACACTGCATTGCCCAGGGGTCTCATAATGCTGTTAAAACGGGCCCTGGCTCATTCCTGTTCGGGCGGCTGAATATCTGGGTCCCCCCCTTCCTATTATACAGCCCCCCCTTTTAAAAAAAACTGGGGGAGACTCGGTTTACTTCTGAGTAACATGTCTCTTTGCTCTTTCCCCCCAGATTTCAGTCAAAGCTCCCAAGAAGAAAGTGAAGATCTGGGCAGGCTGCATGTTTACTCGGGGTGGGGGTCTTTCTTAACCCCTCTGAAACTCTGGGCAATTACTCCGGAGTAAGGCCTCCTTCCTTCCCCACCCCAACCCCCAGGGATCGCCCCGATTTTAGCCCTGCGGCCCAACAGGGCCCAGTTTTCTCCTTCGCTATCAAACCAAAATTCGGGGCGAAGGGAAAATCCCAGACCGACATTCGTTTAGGAAATTAATTCGATCGGATTCAATCATTATTATATTTATTTTTTGCTTTATAAACCCGAAGAAGCCTTAAACAATCAGCCGTTTTCTCCCATTTCAAGTAGAAAAAAAAAAAACACCTTTTTCTATCACTCCAGCCATTTTAAAGACAGGTTACCCCCTACTCAATAGAGCGCCTCATGTTTCCCCACCACCCAAATAGTTATGATTTGCACCCAAAACTCGAAATTTTTGATGATGAGAATGATGATTGTTTTAATTGGATAGCCAAGTTGTTTAATGTTTTTTTTAAAATTGCTTTTAAATGTTATATGTTATGTTTCACCATGGCTGTTCACCGCCCTGAGTCCTGTTGGAGAAGGGCGGTATACAAATAAAATAAAATAAAATAAATAAATGATGGTGGCGATCATTACAGAAGGTCCCTTTGTCTGGATTTTAAAAATTAAAAAATAAACCAGAAATCTGGATTCAAAGCTTTGTAAGGGGTTTTTCTCTTGGCGATGGATACCAGGCAGGATCTTAGTTGAGGTTGGGGTTAAATCAGCCGTGTCCGAGGTTGGCTACGGGGTGGGTGGGAAATAGAGAGACCCCTTTATTAATAAAAGGAAGAAGTGATTTTAAAAAAAAAGGCGAACAATAATAGGCCACTGGAAGAGAGACGAGCGGAAGGAGAGGAGAAAAATGCATAGGGATAAAATGCCCTCTGTTAAAACCAATAACTCCTTTGAGTGCCTCCGAAATTAAAAAGGGTTCGGGAGGGCGCAGGAGGGGGGGGTAAACCCGGGGTGCCAGCCACGACGCCCCCCTCCCCTCCAGCATCCAGATCAAATCAATTTCACCCGCCTCCAAGCTGTTAAACGGCCTCGATTTCCCTCGAAGCGGGAAAAGCCGGCAAAAGAAATCCCAAACGCGAATTTTTCGCTTTTTTAATCTTTCCCTTGAATTTACTCGTGAGGAGACTGCGGGGTTTGTTTAGGGTTTTTTTGCCCCTCTACTTCGGGGACCGATCCTTGGCCACTTGCACGCTTCCCAGGCTTTTTACACGGGATCCTGAGGGGTTTTCCTGCCGGCAGCCCCCCTTCCCCACAGATCACCAACTATTTCCAGGTGTGGATTTCCAGATGTTTGAGCATAAAAACAGAAGGGCTTTTTTTCCCCTTTTTCTTTCTTTTTTTAAAAAATCCTCCTGATTTGCTCAATGACTTAGAATTGGAGAAGGCCCCGGCGAGATATAGCAAAGAGACATCAAGAAATATTAGAAAGGAAAGAAAGGAAAGAAAGGAAGAAAGGAAAGAAAGAAAGAAAGAAAGAAAGGAAGGAAGGAAGGAAGGAAGGAAGGAAGGAAAGAAAGAAAGAAAGGAAAGAAAGAAAGGAAAGAAAGAAAGAGAGAAAGAGAGAAAGAAAGGAAGGAAGGAAGGAAGGAAGGAAGGAAAGAAAGAAAGAAAGAAAGAAAGAAAGAAAGAAAGAAAGAAAGAAAGAAAGAAAGAAAAAGAAAGAAAGGTCAGCCTTTAAATAGAAATAATTTGCACGTGGAAATACAGCCTGAATTCCTGAATTTTAAGGAATAAAAATCAGAATTCCAAGGGAGGATTGGAAGCCAATTTTTCAGGAAATCCTCCTGCCTTTTTTTTTTTTTAATTGCTTCCAGGTCCCTTGTCAACCCCTCCACCCTCCAAGCCCCCACGCCTTGAAACCGGCCCTCGGCCCTTGTATCAGGATTTTCAGGTACCCCCCCCTCCCCAAAACGGAAGCCCACCTCCCGGGCCAACCTGATTTCCACCCAGAGACCAACCTAGCTATTTGGGATGCCAAGGAGGACGAGAAGGGGCAGATTGGAAAAAGCAGTGCCCGAAGTAAGAATTTGCAAATATTATTATTAGCAACGTGGCGAAGAAGCCTGTCTGGTCTCGTGGAATAGAGGAAGAAGTTAGTTTCTCTCCTTCCCCACGGAAAACACCAACAATGGTGGATCTGGATATTATATGATTGTTCTTTACTTTTCCTGCTCTTTTTCTGCACTTACTTCAAAAGGACACAGCGGGAGTGATGGGATTATTTTTATTGTTCATTGGACAAAGACTGAATTCTCCCTCTTTCCGTAATACATACTCAAAAACTTTCTGCATATATTATTATTATTATTATTATATTATCATTATTATGGAACAAGGACTGAATTCACCTTCTCTCCACAATAAATACGACCAATCCTTCTTCGTATATATTATGCTTCTTTATTATTATTGGACAAGGACCGGATTCTTTCCTCTCTGCACGATAAGTAATAAAAAAAATCATTCTGCATGCTTATTACTGTTGCTATTTTATTATTATTGGACAAGGACTGAATTCTCCTTTCCACAGCAGATACTAAAAATCTTTCTGCATGTATATAATGATTGCTATTATTATTGGACAGAGGGGCAGAATTCTCCCTCTTTCCATAAAAATGACTTTAAAAAACCTTTTGCATCTATATAATTAGTGCTACATTATCATTATTATTGGACAAGGACTGAATTCTCTCTCTCTCTCTCTCTCTCTCTCTCTTTCTCTCTCTCTCTCTCTCTCCCTCCACAGTAAGTACTAAAATCATTCTATCTATCTATATTATTATTATTATTATTATTATTATTATTATTATTATTATTATTATTATTATTATTATTATTATTATTATTGGTGTTGTTAGCTCTGTGGGAACCCCATGGCCTCAAAATCTCATCTACACGTCTCTACCCAGGCAGAAATTTCTTACTTTTTCTGCACTACTTAGCTTCAAAAGGGAATAGCGTCATACAATAGTCTTTATTTTATGATGTTAACATAAGGGCTGGTATTTCTCTCCCCCACCCCCTCTCCGCGGTCCATAAACACCAACAATCATTCTGCATATGCCATTATTATTCCTATTTACTCCTAATTCTTGTGTGTGCGGCTTGCCTTAAAAAAGGAACTTGTACAGTGAATATATGATTGTGATTGTGGTTATTAATTATTATTATTATTATTGGTTCAATTCATATGCCACCCTTTCTCCGGAGACTCGGGGTGGCTTACAATGCGTTAAGCAATAGCCTTCATACTTTTGTATATACCTGCTTAGTAGGTCTTTCGCCCCCCCCCCAAGCGGTGTTCTTTTTTTTATACAAAGTCAGCTTATTGCCCCCACAAACCGGGTCCTCATTTTACCTACCTCGAAAGGATGGAAGGCTGAGTCCACCTTGATTAAGGTGGCTTTTCTCTCCTTCTCAGTTAAAACCTGATTATTATTATTATTATTATTATTATTATTATTATTATTATTATTATTTATTCCTTCGGGAGTAGGGCGGTATATAAATCCAATAAAATAAGATAAAATAAATTATTATTGTTATTATTATTATTATTAGCGGCGCGGGTCGCGGCGGAGGCGGCGGCGGGGAGTGGGGTCGCCTTCCTTACCTGCCCGATTTCGTGATCACCATCTCGGTGCCCAGTTTGTGAAATTCGTCCCAAAGGTCTTTAGCCTCCAGCGTGACTTTGGGGTCGTCTTCCACCTCCTCTTCAGGCTCCAAGCTTTTCAACGAGCGCAGATGGGCGGCCTGGTGATGATGTCCGAGAGCCGAGACGTGCAAGCCGGCCTCGGCGGCGGCTCCAGCCAAACTGGGATCCGGCAAGGGCTTGGCGAGGGCGGCGGGAGGCAGAGCCAAAGCCGGGAAGAAAGAAGGCTGAGCGGCCGCTAGAAAAGCCGACATGGGGAAGTCGGCTGGCCTGGGCGCGTGGAAGGGGTGGTAAGCCATCGCAGCCCCCGGGAACGCTGGATCTCTCATCGGGACATCCACAAAGCCAGGCGGGAAGAGCGAGGCCCCCCAGGCAGAGAGGGCTAGCGGGGAGAAGGAGGAAGCCTCGGCCGGGGGCCCGCTGAATTTCAGCCCGGCTTGCTTGGCGCTCAACGGCGGAGGTCTAGTCAGTTTCAAGCCGCCGGCGCTTTCAGCCAGGCTGCCGTCTCCGGGTCCCTTCAGGGCTCGGCAAAGAGGAAAGGGGGAAGAAGGGAGCACCGCAGCAAATGTGGGGGGCAGCCCAGGGCCCCTCCACAGCCCCCGGCAACCCCGCGATTTGGAGCCCCCGGACAGGCTCCGAGGCGCCCGGGGGGGCTTCTTCCCCGCCACGAACGGGGGTGGGGGGGTGGGAGAGAGAGAGAGGGGGGAGGCCCGCGGGAAGGGACCCCCCCTCTTTTCCTGAGATCGACCAACAAGCAAAAAAAATCAAGAAGATCCGAGAGGGGGGCCCCCCCTTCTCCTCCTCCTCCTCCTCTTCCTCCTCCGGTGAAGGCGATTCCTCAACGCCTCCGGGATCTTGCAGGTTTTTTTCTTAAAACATTAAATTAAATTTAAAAAATGAAAATAATAATAATAAAAAAAGCGCCTCTCCAGACGAGCTTGCAAAACTTCGGAGGTTGCTTCGGGAGGGGGCAGTCGGGCAGCGCGGCGTTTTCTTTCTCCCCTCCTCTCCTCTCCTCCTCTTCCCGGGCGCCTGCAGCCTCGGAGCACCTCCCGGCCCTTCCGAGAGAGCGAGGCCGGAGTTGGGTCTGGTCTGGGGGCGAAGAGCGAATTCTTGGCTCCGGGGCTCGCTCTCGTCTCTTCGCCCGCTCTCTCTCCGCCTTCAATCCAAAAAAGAAAAGAAAAGAAAAGAAAAGAAAAGAAAAGAAAAGAAAAGAAAACGAAAGCCAAGGCGATTTCCTCGGGTTTAAGAAGCGCGAAGCTCCGGCCTTGGATCGAGGCCGGCTTGGGCGAGGAGGAAGAGGAAGAGGAGGAGGAGGAGGAGGAGAGCCGGACGGTTCATAGCTCCCGGCCGGGAGAACTCCGGGTTGAAATGCTCTCTTTTTCCCTGCTGGCTTCGCTCTGCAAAAAGCTTTGGGGGCTGTCTTCGCGTGCGCCGCCTCGCTCCGCTCCCCGCTTCCTCCACCTCTTTGCTCGCTCCGCTCCGCTCCACCCGCCGCCCCCCCCCCTCCCCCCCCCCCTCCCCCCCCGGCGCGTTTCCTCCTCTCTCTCTCTCCCTCTCTCCCTCTCCCTCTCTTTCTCTCTCTCTCTTTCCCTTCCCTAACCACCCCTCTCTTTCTCTCTCTCTCCTTCTCTCTCTGTCTCTCTTCCCTAACCCCCCTCTCTCTTTCTCTCTCTCTTTCCTTTCCCTAACCACCGCGTCTCTCTTTTTCTCTCTCTCCTTCTCTCCCTCTTTCCCTTCCCTAACCCCCTCTCTCTTTCTCTCTCCTTCTCTCTCTCTTTCTTTTCCCTACCCCCACTCTCTCCTTCTCTCTCTCTTTCCTTTCCCTATCCACCCCGTCTCTCTTTTTCTCTCTCTCCTTCTCTCTCTCTTTCCCTTCCCTAACCTCCCCCCCCCGTGTCTCTCTCTCTCTCTCTCTCTCTTTTCCCCCTTAATGATTGTGGATTTTACGAAGCGCAGACCAATTGTGGAAGCCCAGAGGCGTGGTTTTTGACAGGTTGGGCCCATATGCGGGGCGGGGAGGGGGGGTGGCGGCCGTGTGTGTGTGTGTATGGGGGGGGGGCAGAATCAAAGAAAGGGAGAAAGAAAGCGGTTTACTTCAGGGGAGAGAAGGAGAGAAGGAAAGAAGGAGGCGGAGGGAGAGAAGAAGGAAGGGGGCGAGCGACCGAGCGAGCGAGGAAGACTTTGGGCGAAGGTGTCGCCAGAAAACAAACATGTCAACCGAATAAAATATTAACCGAAGCTGGAGGCCTTGGGAGAGCCCCCCCCCTCGCCAGAGACCGGGGTTCCCGGCGGCAGAGCCGTGGCTCACGAAAGGGGAGGCAGCTTCCCCCGGAGCTCCTGCCAACGGGCCCTCCGAGGCCGCCGGGAGCCAAGAAGCCACAGCAAATGCGCCGCCCAACGCAGCGGAGCGCAACGCAGAGGAGCGCAGAGCGAAAGGCAGAAGATTGGCGTCCCGGGAAGGAGGGAGGGAGGGAGGAGGGGGGGCTGGGGGGGTTGCATGAGGGAGGGGTCAGGGACAAGAGGCGCGAGGTCGACCGACCCACGGGGGCGTCCTAGTTCCACGAAGCAGGACTTAAAAGGGAGGCCGATAAGCCCTCCCCCTTCCCAAGACCTTTCAACACGCGCGCATTTTTGAGGGTTTGGTGTGAATGAGACGCTGGGGGTTTTTTTGTTCCTGGATGAGGTTTAATTTGTCCCCCTTTCCGAGTTTGTTCTGCCCCGATGCAGCCTGGTTGCAATCCCAGCCCACCGCCTCTTTCTCGGGTTTTCCCTTTCGCACGTTCTCCTTCTCTCTCTCGCGCGCAATCTCAATCTGCCTCCCCTCCTCTTCTCCCCCCGGGGCGCCCCTAAAACCTAAACGCGTCCGTGGAGACGGGTATGGATCCGGGGCAGCTTTCTGGTGGAGAGAGAGCCAATACGGACGCCCGGTTTGCCCTAAATCTGCAAGGAACTCGGGTTCGCCGATGTCACGTCTGCAAGTAAAATAATCTCGCCCGGCGAGGAGTTCTCTTGCAAAAACAGATCGGAAAAATTTGCAATGCTCCGGTATATAAGGGCTACGTAGGACGCCGCTTCACTCCCGAATCCGCGAAGCCGGTTCTGCGAGACCGGTGGAAGATTGACTGACTCCTTCGGCGCCGGTTGTTATCCTGCGCCCCCCCCCAAAAGGCTAGGAATAAACTGCTTACTTTGGGGGTCCTGCTACAGAGCAGGCCGGGCAGGGCGAGTGCGAATCGTGAGCACTCAGCAAAGGCAGCCCTTACTCGCTCTTTACTCGGGAGTAAATCCCGATTTAAAGAGAAGCGGCGCTTCCCTCCCAACTTCGCACAGCTCTTTCGGGTCCCTGTGGTTAGTAGCGCGCGATCCAGCCCGAGCCCCAAGCTGTGCTCTCCGCGAGGCGCGCGCTTTCCCACTCCCCCGCGCGTGCTGTTTGACGGTGGAGGAGTGTGTGGGGGGGGGGGGGGGGGGAACGAAGGAGAGAACCGGGAATCCAGCGGATAAGAATCCTTTGATTCAATCCAGCCAAAGGGGCTCTTTCATCCTACCTTCCCCTGGAAAAATTTTGAGGCTAAGGCTCGGAAGGAAGGAAGGAAGGAAGGAAGGAAGGAAGGAAGGAAGGAAGGA